ACAAACAAGGAAAAGTCACTGGTACAAGTAACATATGAGGCTCTTTTTTTTTCATTAGAAAAGGTTTATTTTCAAATGTTTAGAGCCAAGTGTAAACTTTTGCATAATAATTTCCTCTAATAAAGTTTAAAATACAGCAAGATAGGAAAATACATAAAATGGGCATTCAACAAGGAGAACTATGTTTACAATAGTCTTCTTGGAATTGCATGCAATAGAAGTTGTATAAAAAACTCCAATTAATCTAAACAATAAATAGTTTATGAACTCACAGGCTTTGTTTAATTTTGTAATATGTTGTCTGTATAGACTGTATAGAATTTTTGAACTATCATTTGAATACATAATTTTCTATCTACTTTTCAAAGTTACACAGATGATATTAAATTTGTCAGGCCAGCTAAACTTTATTGTTTCTGTGTCCTGTTTCAGATAATCCTTACTAATCAGCAAGGCATTTTCTACTCTCCTAGAACTACATCCATCAATTTCTCCCATGACTTCTTCCTGGCCAGACTTTAGGCCGTGTCATTGCTTCAACTCAGAATTTTGGAATTTCTTCAAGTCTCTCTTACCCTTGTGGCTTTTGCTTCAGTACACTTCTCCAGTTCTCCATGTAGGTCCTGGATACATCCTTGAATCATTTCACAAGATATCTCCTCCCACTGGCACAACTCTCAATTTAACTTCTTTCCTTTCCAGAAATCTCCACCCTGTCAGTGCTCCCTTCTTCTATCCTCATCTTCTCACCACTAAAATCAGGATCAATCCTAACTCTTAACTCTCTCTTGGTCAACACACCTGGGGTGTTTCCAACGGCTGCCACATAGCCCTTTTCGTTTGAATCCTTTCCCTCTTCTATTCAGCCAAATCATTTATTCAGGTCCTATTTTTTGGCCTTGGCTATGGCAATCCCCTCTGTATAATAGAGAAAATCCCACTCCCCTTCTCTCCAATAACTACTACACCTACTGTAACAAATAAAAAGGCAGCTCATCTAATACAGTATGGAATTTTATTTTCCTGTTAGCACTTTTCAGTCTGGAACTAGATAATCGCCAAAACGTATTTCCCACATGAGTTTAAATTCATAGCTTTTCTCTTCCCATCCTTGCTTCTCATTTCTGTTAATTTTTCTCCACTTGCTCCACTGGGAAACTGCCAATGCTCTTCAGGGGGGCCAGGACACCCACTCATGCTCAAAACACTTGCTCTCAAAACAAGCATCCCTGTTAAGCTCTCAGCCACTGCAAAGGAAGAAATTCATTTAACCTGGCACTGTATTTTCCTTCTCTATTTATTCATGAAGGATACCTTCTTCACTATATACAGGTAACACCTCACCAGGACAGCCCTGGCTCTCACCTTTGAATGACTTGGGGCTTTAGCATTCCCATAAGCCCTACTGGGTTATCCCCAAGAATCCTTGCCCAGAGGATATAACCTCAGAACTAATTCCAACAACTCTACGTGTGTCCCCTCTGGAAGAAGAACTGATATTCTTGTAACACGGACTGCTCTTCAGCTGTGTCGATAAGCATCGCTTTAACTTTAACTAGAGTTTTGGAGGTGCTGTGGCTGCAAAGACTCGATGTATTTTCACTCGGTTCTTGTCAGTAATATTAATCCATTAAAACTGAAGTGCAAGGCAGGAAGGGAATAAATAGTGGGTATTTGAAAACCTCACTGTGTTTCAAACAGAGCTAAATTACTTGCAACGGTAATTCAGCAAAGTGCTGCTGCACAAGGACAAGAGAAGGCCAAGGTTTACTCCTCGGAGCAGCGTGTATCCTTGCTCTGCACATCCCATAAAAGAGGGCTACAGAAGCGTGGCTCAGCAAACGTGAGAAAGCACTCAACTGCTATGGCGTTTGGGGGGTGTGTGGGGGGAAAACACACGGACTACAAGAATCTAATAATTCTCCACCCAAGCATTGCTAGTGAATGAGCTCACTGGTTTCCTCCACGTACTCCAGCAGCCTTCCTGCCATCACTCCGTCAAGCCAAGCAATGATGTCAACCGTCCACCTGCGAGAGTGATGCAGCCCCCGGGTCAGGGTCACAGAGAGCTCCGATAAAAGCCGTGCCAGTGGTAATTAAATGCACCTCTTGTTTCACTGCTGATTTCCTCCGATAAGGCTCATGTCATTTTTCCTGGAAAGACTTCCCTGCTTTAAGGGAACCAGAGCCAACTATAATACAAAACAAATATTGCCCGGAGGATATGAAGACAGCGTAACACATTAAATATTTAAGTTTTAAAGAACGTCTGCATATCAGTGCTGGGGTAAATACAAATCTCATTAACCTGCATGTGCTAATGACAAGGTTAAACTACAAATGCTAGTTACTGCAGATGGTTTATAATCCTTAGACAGGTCTAATCTCTTTCATTTGAACTGCTCTTCAGACTGAGGTTATAGAGCTAATTGAAACAGAATTCTAATAACCTAGTTTCTCCACTAAAGGAATTTAGGAGGATAAGATTTTTCAGATTAAAGTGAGAGGTGATCATCCAGTAAAAACCATGCTTTGAGACTAGATTTAGAAATTTAATTAACATCAGAATTACCAACTCAACTTGAATGAATATGTTGTCCCATATTCCAGCATCAGAAATTCTCAGCTGCAAGAAAGATCTAGACAGTTTAGATATTAAGGATCCTCACCCATTACTATGATCCAGCACCTAATGACAGGAGAGGAGAAAAATACGTACTGCCATTCCCCTTCCCTTTACAACAAATCTAGTCTGCTATAACTGGGTGCTTTTCAGCATATGCTGTACAGGATTTCTGTTATCCCTTTACTCATAGGACCTGCCTTCCAGCTACTTCAAGCCTTCATACTTGTATACTCACTTTGTGGTCACAGTCCTTTTCAGGTAGTTTTAGTGGTAAGAGAACTGTCATGGGCAAATCTATGGTTTTTGAACCAACATTAAAAATCTTTCTTGTGTGGTTTAAAAGATACCATTAGTCATAGGACTTAATTGCTGACAAGACAGCACAAACAAATCTAGTGGTGATAAAACAGAAAAAAAAAACCCAAAATTCTTCCAGATATGTTTGTTTCCTAATGATTACAAATATCAATTCTGAAAGAGTCAACAAAGTAGAGCTCTTGCTATAAATTTATTTCCAGAAAAGGACCACTGGACACCATTATGTATTGTATATACAGCTAAATGTACTTGTCACGTCAGTTCTTCCAATCCCACATTCCCAAGTGTTTGCAATATTTTCCAAACAATCATTCCTCAATGCCTGTCCATGAAGATTTTCAGCTCTTTGGGATCACAGCTCTTTGGGATCCACATCTTTGTGTTTACACAGTAGCTTTTCCTACAAACTCTGCTGGAGTACCTAGTTCTAGAAGTACATATGCTGCCCACCTAGCGCCTGGCATGAGAAAAGCTTCTTGGATATACTACCTCTCACTAAAAAAGGTAGAACATAGTTTTTACAACATCTCCTCCAGAAGGAAATATTCTCTACAAGTTTCTGGTTTGAGTTGGCAAACCAAAATGAGAGATATTCCTTCACAGTTTTGTCAGTATTGGTCCTAAGGACAGCTCCTGTGGATGTACGAGGCTGACCTGCAGCCAGCTTGTGTTGAAGTGTGCAGAACATGATTCACTTTGAACGCTCCACCCAAGAACATTTCACCCCAACATCCTATGGAACAGCCGCTTCACGGATTTGAAGCAACTGCAGCACAAAGACACTAGGATTTCTAATGATTTCCTTTCTTCCTGTCACCAGTAATCGGAAGTTTGGTCTTACACAATACACAAACACTTTGTATCACCTGGTACCTGATCGAGGCTGGACATAACTGCCTGCCCCTTGCTGTGCTCCCCTTCTGGTGGATGCACACACTGTGGCCACACAGATGGAAAGCACATCCACAGTGCAGCAAGTTAGAGTGACACAGTTTCCTGAACTTCAGGAACTCTCCTGGTCAGAAAGTACTTCCTTCCTTGTTTCAAACACTTGATTGTTTCAGAGGGAATTCAGAACAATAGATTTGAAACTTTCAGCCTTTCCCAAGTGTACTGCTGCTCAAGGAAACCGGGCCATGCTCTGGGAAGATGAGATAACACAGGCAGAGTACTCTTTTCCGGAAATGCAATAGCTTTTGCATCCCTTTCCTAGCACCATCCCATGAATCAGCTACATGTTAGTAATAATTCATGTTATGAGATGTCAGATACAGTTCAACTATTGTTTGAAATAAGATGTGCGTGGGTTGGCAAAAAACGTAAGCTAAAGGGAGTACCTTCTCAGTTACTCTGATAAGTCATGTCAGAGAGGAAATGTCAAGAACTTCCTCATCTGAGCCGCTACTTTTAAGGAACAGGTAGTAAGGAAGAACTTTTAGTACCTCATACTTTAAATCTCTGAAAAATGTACTGCTACTGCTGTAGATAGAAACCTACGCCCTTCCCACAAGAACTTAATTTCACAGAACAAGCAGAGATGTTTATAAAGACGAGGAATAGATCAGGCTCATTATATTGCACAGAAAAGCAATTATTTTTTAGTGTATTTTTTCCTAACACAATTGCACTCATCTAAGCACAATACAAAATGCTTCACATTGATGGATGAAAGAAAGAGTATTTAAAAAATAATCATGAAACTACAGTATTTTTGTAGGCTGTGGATGAGTAATGTAAGGCAACAGACACGAAAATAGTATTTGATAGAGGATTAGGTTTCCAAAGTATTTTAGGATAAATATGAAACATTAGAAAGAGTAACAAAGGCCAAGAGGAACTCTTTCAGACATGGTAGTCGAAACTCTTATGTATGATATCAAATGCTCCTCATCCCCTTTCACTATCAATGTAGAACTACAAGATTTGGCAGGAGAAAATCTTGAAAAGTGAGAACTCACCTGGTTCTACAGATTATTTTGAGAGGCAGAAAGGAAATATACATCCCTGTCATGATCAAAGGGAGGGGAGTCATCAAGTTGCAATACTCTGCACTCACCGTTCCTACCAAAGGGTAGATGAATCCAGCTCCAATGCTGGCCCGCACATCACTGATCGGCAGAATGAAACCGGTGGGAACACCCTTCCTCTCAGGCTGATGGGAGAGGGATAGGTGAGTTTTTGCCATACAAATGGGAAGATTTCCAAATCCCTGATAAAAGAGGGGGGCAAAAAAAAGAAAAATACTTTCAACGTTACAAGATTACAGTAAAGACAGGATACCTTTCCACTTTGTTATCAGTATGTTCTGTAGATCAGAAAAACGATATAACAATAATGAATCTGTTTGCTCTTCCTGGGCAAACGGGGATGCAATTCAGCAGGCTGGGGGGAGAGACCTGGTACCGGAGGGAGTTGCCTCTGCAGCCCAGTGCTGAGGGCAATCCTTTAAAAACATTTGAAACTACTTCCAAATACAAATAATATTTAGACAAAAAATGGACTACTGCTACAAACTGGAGTTGGAAAACACAAAGAAATGAAATATTCTACTTGAAGTATGCTAAGCAAGTTTCTTCTCCACCCAGAAACCAAACATCACTCTCTGAATATTTGCATTTTAGAGAAGATGGCTATACTTCTGCTTGCCCAAGTTGATAAAGTATACTTAGGATTTTTTCCATAGCATATGACCCACATTTTCTATTTCCTAACAGAAAGACTGCAGTCATATCTTCTAGCAGAAATTTCTCCTTCTACAGTATATACGCTCACCTCTCCAAATGGTTTCAGTTGTGACATACCCCTTCCCCACATGCTTTAAGAATCGTGATCTACTTCATTTATCATGTAATCCTTCTAGCACTTAGAGCCCCTTGAAAAAGACATGAACAGCAGAGAAACAAAAGATTTTAAAAGTACGAGGAGCTTTGTTATTAGAATACACAGTTGTGCATAAGACTTTTTGCATTTGCAAACATGCACACATTTTTGGCAGGTACAAATGAACACTTATGCTAAGATTGGGCACACCTGTTAGGAGCTAGCTATGCAGATGTGGAGCTACATATTTAAAACAGAGAACATTATTCTTCTGCGTGTCTGTCATTTCAATTTTATTAAGATATTCTAAACAGGCATCGACTTTACAGACATCTTTTGACACCTAAAAATTGTTTCATAATTAGAAAGAAGAGATGAGCAACTCCCCAGCAAACTGAGCTGCAATTTGAAGTACACTAATATCTACAAGACTTGAAGGAAAGAAATTCTGCCTATGAATATTAAAAGGGAATATTTTATAGTAATCCACAATGAAAGAGCCTTAGCACAACTGAAATTTGTGTAAGGAGTAAGAAGAAAAGGACTTTGCTCCAGGAGTTGCAGGAAAGTCGCAAGCTAAACACTCAAAGATATGTGCTCTTTTACAGAAGATAGCTTACAAAGTCAAACTCATTTTGTCCTATCTAATCTAAAAGAAACCACCTGTCTTTTAGCAAAGCTGGGCTAAAAACTCCCCTCCAAACTGCAAATTTTGTGAAATCTAGGCTGTCCCAAGGCTCACATTACCACCAGTGCTCTTACCTGCCGGCTGTAGCGATCCACTTGCGACTGTGCAGCAGGAGACAACTCTATATCCTGAGCTCCATACACCTTCTGAGCAATGATCCGGATTTTTTCAACAATAGGAAGCTGCAGATACATGGAAACAATACAAATCTGAACACTGGCAAAGAATAACTATGATCCTTTTATTCCCACAAGGGTAAGAAATTGGTTCAGGAATAACAAACTTATGAGTCTATGAGTAATGGTGAACGCTTTCCAAGAAATAATGCTTTCTCTGCAAAGATATGTCAGGTGAACCTAAGTGTTTGTGTCAGGCTTACGCTTTTTGCATTTCTGATTATATTTGAGAAAATCAAAGTTTAAAGTAGTCTGACTATTCATACTCCAGTAATAGAGAAATCACAAGGAAAACAATGGTCGCATCCCACCCTTTCAAAGAGCTAAAATGTAGGACTGTTTAAAGTTACTAAGACTCAAGTAAAATCTCTCACTCACATAAGGAAATTCAAAGTGACATCTAAACACAGGCCACAAGACACCTTTTGAAACAAGCTGACAGCATGATCATTGTAGCATAATTGGGTGGAATAACATCACATCCCTTATTTCAGGCGCTACAACAGAAGCAACTTAAAGACAATTGGAGGTAACACATCACAAACATCCTGAGTTTAATTCTTAATTAAGTACTAAACTGAAAAGATTATTTTAATGGCCTGGATAACCATCACGATGAAACTTCCTCTAGGTTCATTATCACGGTACCTTCATGTCCACTGCAGTTACGAACACAGCATAAGAAATGCAAAACATCTCTGCCACGTCACCTCTTCAGTGCTGTTTACATGCAGTGAAGGACTAACAGCAAGAGCAAAAGCTCCACTTCTGGGTTTACATCTGTAAACCAGTATCAAACCCAACAACTTTCTCCTTAAATCTTGTTAACTTCATTGAGATGGAGATCTTCATTTAGATTCAGTTTGCATTTGCCTTGAAATATTTCAACCTAATTTGACAGTAACACGGTCACTGCAAACCCCCTCCAGCAATGACAGTTCTAGTTTCCAAATAAAATCCAGCAGGGTTCTGGCTTGCATCAGAGCAGGCTCCTTTAATGACAGCGCTGGCATTCTGCTTCTCCTCAGGTTATGCTAAATATCTTGCATGACGGAGTGTGAGCTGGAGAGTGAAACTTTTTTTTTTAGTTAGGATTTGAGATACTTATTTGACCACCAAGCACACCAAAAACGTTGTGACTTTAACTTGGGAAGAATTAAGAGCTAAAGCAGCAGATAGGAGAGAGCAAACTGCTATCAGGAATGATTTTATGGGGCAGAGTGCCATGCCCCTGCCAGGCACACACATCTTTTGGTGAGGTGCAACCCAGCATCACGCCACAGAAGAGTTTGAGGCCACTTAACCTCGCTTGCAAACTGTGGCACACACGCTCATTTTAACACAGCCCATTTACCTGCACATTCTCAGGCATGCTTCATTCCTCAAGTTTCAGGAGCAGGGGAAGGAATACACTACACTGTGCTCAAGGTCCACCTGTTTTCCAGCATTTAGTGGGATTTTTTTAGGGATCACCTATTTAGAATCACAGCGTAGCAGCATTTCAAGCATTTCATGGATACCTGTGTTAGTGGGTATCAAGTAATACAGCTGGGCAGTTTTGTTTTAATTTAGTTAAAATATTTTCCAAAGAAAAGCCACTGGTATTTCACATGAGATACACAAATTAACTTGAAAACAACTTAGTGGTTTTTTTATCTGAGAGAAAGAGGTAGTAATTGAAGAGATTTTTAAACATTTGTTACCACAGAACTTAAGATGTTTGCAAGATACTTGTAAGAACAAATCTAAGTTCTTTTTCTCTGGTCTTTAAGGGCAACTTTAGCTTTAGGTTTTCAAGAATACTGTTGAGTACTCAATACTTCAATCTAGAAATCTTCTCAATGACGGGACTAAAGATTGACCATATTCTCCTGCTCATTTCATTTAAGCAAGGCTGTGAACATTATGCAACTACCTGCATTTATGTGGAGAACAGGTGATACACAATAGAAATATTCAACCACTCTAGTCTAAATTTTGATATAAATTGACTTTACAGATACACAATTAAGTATTAGTACTAATGCAGAATGGCAAATTCAGAGAACTCATTTCAAATTCTATTTTAGCTTCTTAGGCAAACGTGCCATGAAATACTTGGCACACTTGCTACTTGTAAGTTTATCATGAACGTGACAAAAAGTGCTACAGGGTCACACTGTATGAATATCTGCTGATGCCTAGAGGGCTTTGGTGTTGCTCTGAGAAACAGCAGGTCTTCCTAGCTCTGCTAGAGACCATGTGCATTTCAGACATCTCACACGTTTGGAGCTACCGAAGCCATATGCTACTTCTGAGCTAGGCAGAAACACAAACACTTGCTAAGGCTGCCTAGCACCCACTCCATAAAAAGGATTATCTCCTCAGCTGAAGCCTAACAAGTGCTACCGCAAAGGTGTGCGGACCACTTCTGTAAAAACAGTATCTGTGCTGTGGTACATTTTATGATTTGATATTTGATTATATGATTTGAAGGCACGGAAAAAGCACTGATGAGGAGGACAGTCTGTCATTCTCAAGATTAAATTCATTAATGAAGATAAAATCTCACCAGTGTTGCCTGCCATTCAGTCTTGCCATATGACTGCTTTCTGGCCAAGTCATAGTGTTAGGCAGCTTGGTGCTGTTTAGTGCACAATATTCTTCTTTCTAATATTATCAACAAGATACTTTGCAGCAGAAGGCAATTAAATATGACTTTCATTTCTGCTAGCCTTTCTCATTCCTTTCTTCATCTCTTCCTTTAGGTCTAAGAGCAGGCTGCAGATCACCATTTTCTCCAGGTATTGCTCACATTCACCCTTCTGCACCCAGAGGAGAGCATGACTGTCTGTCCAGAGAAAGAGATCCAGGTTACAAAATAACTCTGGAAAAAGGGGCTATTTTAACCCAGATCAGTGTTAGAATTACCCAGTCATCCGCCCAAGCCACACAGAAGTGTTATACCAGTGTTATACAGTGTTATACTGTATACTGAGAGGAATCTGCACAAGTGGGCTGGAGCTGCTGAAATCAGTCTTACTGCCTCAAGTCAGCATCTCATGAAATTACACTTTTTACACGTCAGTGAAATCACACTGAAGTCTTTAAACATTGACTTCAGTCCCACTCTATATAATATTACAGGTTGCTTATTTATCGTTTCTCAACCACCTCTGTTTTAATAGAGATTCTTAAAATAGTCTAAAATTCAAGGCAGTCGCACTTTTCCTTTTTTTTCATATTTTGCCTTTGCTGAAAACACTAATAAAGAATCACTGGTTGACTAAGTGAAACAGTATGTAGGCATCACTCATGTCTCTCTTGGGAACGTTGCCAAATGCAAACATATGATGGGAGTGTGGCTGAAGGTGCTGCGTGAGGTGACAAAGTGCAGCACTAAAGCAAGAGCTGACTCTGCACATTCGGACTCCTACTTCTAGCTTTTCCCTCGGATAAAATCAAAACACATTTATTAAACTATCTGTATATTGTGGTTCCAGGAGATCTGCAGCTAACAAAAGGATTCCCAAGTCTTTAGCACTCCTCTTCCTTTGTTGGCACAGCATGAGATTTTTTTTTTCATTCGCTGAAAAGCATATTCAGTCAAGTTGAACAGTTTGCGAATCAACACCTAAGCCCGAGGCCTTAGAGTTATTTCCCATTTCCCCACCTCTGAAATCCCAGCCTCATGGAAAGAATGAGAAAACAATGAAATAAACCATAAATTTGCAGTGCTGTCCTGAGTCTACACACACACATACAGAGGAAGAGACGAAATGGAAGAAACCAAGAGGCCTGATACTGAGGAGACAAAACGCCAAGCCCCCTCTGCAATCCGTTTGATGGCAGTGGGAGGGAAGCGAGGCTGAAGCAGCACTGGGGGATTTCTCTTTCATGTGGCTTCACTGCGAGATGGCTCGCTAGCAGCGGGGTGGGGGAAGCAGTTTAAAGACTAGCATAACCCTGGAGGGCAGCAGAGCCTGCATTTCAAGATGAGAAATGGTCTTCATCATTTATTAGGAGAAGCTTCAGGAAGGGGCGGCATAGATAACTGTATTTATTCTTACTGCAGCAGTGCTTAGGGGCCTTCCACGGGCCGCATTCCTTCATCACGGAACCTGGTGCTCTGCGGGAAATTTCAAAACAAAAGTCTCTTGTCTCCCAGCCGAAGGAAGAGAGGCCTGTTGGGCCGGTGTGACAGCAGAAACGTGGTGCCTGGCTTCCAAAGCATGGATATCAGTGGAGGAAGAAAAATAAATTCCCTCAACTTCTCCCTCATGTTGAAATGAATGAGCTGACCAGCTTACGAAGAAGAGAAATGGTCTACCTTAACTCATTCTCCTCAAACCCCCCTTCCCCAAAACCTTTCCTAAGGGATAGGAACCTTTCTTTGCCCTGCCTTCCTTCTCTCCCTTGCGCCGGGGAGCCACGTCCCTCCTGACCTCTGCTCACTCCCCATTTCACCTCTCAGAGCTCACTCTTGCTGTGTGAGGTTGTGGGCAGAAGGCTGAAATCTTCTGCACTGAGAACTGCAGCTGGCAGTGTCCTCTGGTTTGATGCTCCCCTTAGCCCCGAGCGACCTGGTGTCTCTGATGGTGGAAGCCAGCACCAGAAGAAACGAGCTGAGTGGCAGCAGGCACCATGTAGCCACAGCACAACAGAGGCAACCACCAAAACCAGCGGCCAGCGTGCTCCGGATTTGTCCGAGTTACTATCGCACCCCCAGCAAGGGAAGAAAGGCCCCGTGCCAAAGCTGCCGACCGTGCGAAGCGCTGCTCAGCCTCCCGGCAAGGGCTGGCCCCGAGCGGGTACCGCGGGGAACCCTGGCTCGGCACGCCAAGCCCTGCAGTCGGCCAAAATATTTGCGGGAGCAACCTTCGCAGTCTAACTTGGGAGAGGTTTTCATTTCTTGGGATGTCACCTCAAGGCAGAGCAACAGCAAAATGGACATCCTATGAAGAATCTGGATGACTGGAAGATTTTCACCACCTTTCTTTTGTGACCTTCACATTCTTCAATATAGTTTCCCCGGGAAGCATCAATCAGCTCATTTGAAGCTCATCATGTCCACCTTTTAGGGACAATGCTGAATCTCTTCCTAACCTTGACTCCTGCCAGGATCCCCTGTATTTACTCACGCCATATGCCTGTCCTTCACCTCCCCTCTGCCTCCTGGAGCTTCGGCCCGTGCAGGTCCAGCTGCTTTGCAGGAAGGACTAATGTTTCTCACAAATAACTGGCGCCTGCCTTCATTCAGAGGGTTGAGGAGGGCTGCTGCAGTCATGAGAGAGTTCAGCACAAGAGCAGAGATGAGACCCTAAATGCTTCCTTTCATAAAGCACAGACATTTCACTGTGCTGCATAGCAAAAGAAGATAGGTTACTCTCCAGGCAAGCATTCATGGGGAACACAGCTTCTTTGCTTCTCCCCCCTCCCTAAGAACAACCACTGGAGCCACAGAAATTTAGGAATGGGATGTGTATGTTTCCATCCTATCCTATCCTCCCCCCAAGTTATCTAAACTTACTTTTAATAGGTCGGTCAGCTAACTTTGAGTAATAGCTTTTTACTGTAACTTCAAGACACATACTTCAAGAAAAGTGAACCTAGAAAGGAAGTCTACGCTGATAAGAGAGTTGATATTTTGATATTTTCCATATGTAGAAAGAATATATATCTAAAGAAAATAAAGTGCAGATTGCTTCATAGAGAGTTCAGGAGGCCTTTACAACAAACCCATTCCTTCTAACACTGAAGGGAAATACTTATTAAGAAGCTGAATCAACAATAAAAAAAGAAGGGTTAATATACAGTGTGGACAAAATTCTGCATTAAACCCCCACACTAAAATACTTATTCCTACTACTGCTAATAATCTTCTGAACTATGCTATAACCTCCCAAGTCTATCATATAAAAAAATCTAGCCTTGCTCCTGACTGCCCTTCTCACCCTGCAAGGTTCCCAAGCCTCAGGCCTAACGCTGCAAGCATTATTATCGGCTTATGTCCTTTTCTTGTACTTTTAAAATAACAATGCTAGAATTATTTGTCAGAGGCCACTTCTTGTACTTGACCCATGAAAGGATATTGTCCTTTCATACACACGCACTCCCAAAATCATATATGCAGCTATTCTTCATGAAAGAAACTGTTTCAAAAAGTGCTTGAAACTTATCTTGTTCTCATCTCTGCTATTGAAAAACAATTCCATCTAATGCTGCTTGTCAAGCTGCTAGAATCAAAAAGTAGTAAAATAAAATGTTACAAGTATCAGCTGCTAAGATAAAAACAAAAACTTGCCTGCTTACAGAAATAAATTAAAGAGAACTTGAAAGGCAAGCCCGAAGTGCAACTGTGCAACACAGTGCACTGTGCCATAGAGAGACATCTGAGGGAGCTTGAACAAAGTATGTATGTAAAGTAAGTATGTAAGTATGAAAGTATGTAAGCACTACAGAGAGTAAAAGAGTAAAATCTGATGAAGCTTTCCAGACTGAGCAAAAATAATGTACCTATAGAGAGATGGATTAAAAGAAAAATTAGAGTAAACTTAGAAACAGATATGAAAGAAGTGGTAGTTGTCTTCTATAGACTATTTCCTCCCTCAACTTTTCCAGAGGGAGAAGAAAAAAAAAAAAAAAAAGAACAAAAAAAAGAAAAATCCAGCAGCACACCTTATCAAGTTTGAGGTATCCAGGACTTAAAAGTATTCAAGCAATCAGATGAACAGGGAAGCGTCTGGAAAGATGAGGAATGGCACTACATCATTTCACTCATGTTCCCTTCAGGTCAATTGACATGGGGAAAACATCTGTCTGCATCCCATTTTATCGCCTCTTCTGCTTTAATTTTGTATCCAAGTTACTTCTTGGAGCAGTAGGTTTCGTTCTTCAAAACTGCCACACCAAAACATCCTATGACACCTCCAGCACCTGGGCAGGCTCACTGGAAAAGGCTGCATTTGTTTGTGTCTCTATGACTCTGTGAGCATAGTGACCAAAGAACCTGCCGTACTTGCCGAGGCACGGCACTGCTAGTTCACTCTCCTGTCTCAGTTGCTTCAGCGCCCATACTTGCTAAGTAGGAATGAAATGGAAGCTTTAAGTTAACATTTTACTGTTTTTGTTGGCATAAGTTAACATTTTTACAATATTCTCATTTTTTTCATGTTTTTATAAAAATTCTTCAATATATTTTTGAGGTGTGTAATATTTGTGTTTCAGTTGCAGGATATTAAGGTGATGCAAAGACATCATTCATTCCCACTGCGCTAAGATCATGCTGCTTATGTGATAGAGCTCAGGAAGATGTGCTTGGGAAAGACATTAAAGCAGACATCAGTCTCATTTTGTTCCTCCACAGAGGCATTGCAAGCCCCCTACAAATCCTTTCTATCCATTCATTGTGCCAGACTGCTAATTATACAGAGTACAGTAACATTAGAGCTTAAATATGGGATTTATTGAGTTTTAATATGCTATCTCTGTAATGCAAATATCCTATGGGGATGATTAGTAAAGACATTTCTGAGAGAAACTTTTTTTTTTTTTCATTTTATTATGCAAAAAGCACAAAGTGATACCCTTTGTTTCCAGGACAGCTCATTAGAGAAGCTCAGAAAATTAGATACATTTTTCATTGTTTGGCTGTAAAAATGTTACATGGGCAAAAAACTCTGGAAAGATGCCGCAGCACTTTTATTCCCAAGGTATTTCCATCTATTCTGTGAAGTCAATGCTTAATACTAATAGGAATTAGCTGGATTACTGTCATTTGGAAAAATGGTGGGGGAGGTGGAGAAAAGAAATAAAACGGGAGCACTGGAAATGAGGTACATCTCAGGGAGAAGGTGGAGAGTGAGAGACAACAGTTGGGCTTATCTACCTTAGGCTGAACTTTTATCTGGCAAGAGTAATCAAAACAGACACTTCCAGCCATGCAAGAAAAAAAGAAGACAGGGTTTCTGCTGTTTAAAAAAAAAAAATTCAAACATTTTCTAAAATAAAAAAAAAAAAAAAAAAAAAGGAGTACTGTCAACTGAGGCACAGAATCTGAAATTGGGCCAAAAAAGTCCGAAATGACTTTTCCTTGGTACCAGAAAAATCATCTAATGGCCCAAATTTTAACCCACTAACATTTGCATAGTCTGAAAGGCCTTGGGAAATCTATTGTATGGCCTTGGAAATATGTCCCTTCAAATGTCCTGTCTGCACAGTGATATTTCACCCTTGCTTTCAGATGCCTTTTCTGCAGGCTGCTCTTCTGAAGAGCTCTCTTTGCTGTGATGTTACCTTGCAGGCAGCTGCAATGACAAAGCCTCTAAAACTTGTGGAAAAAAAAGAGTCATCATCTCTGGCAGAGTGGGGATCAAAATCTGGCACCAACCAGCCCTTTGTTAAAACCTCTGGCTAGCAGCTAAGCAAAGTGACCACAAAGACCAGGCAAGGATCAGAGGAATGATGTGGAGAAACCCACATTACCTACTCAGTGAAAATCGGAGCACACTGAGTCGGCTCCTTCTGGAGACCATCCAAGGCAAAGGATGACCCACCAAGATGAGTTAGCTCTTTCCTCGGAAAGCTTTGCAAAGCATACAGGAATACAGGACTCATAACAAGATGCTGGAGGAAGAACATTTTGTGTCTATGTAAGCCTTATGGGAGGTTTTAAGGTGACTGTGAGAACAAACGAGACTTACTAGGAGACATTTAGAGAACGGATCAAAGGTAGAGAAAAGAAGGGATCCGGGGGGACTGTGGGGGAAAGAGAACAGGAACTACAGAGTAAATGAGAGGAAATGACTGATCAAGTAAAGGGGAAAATTTGTCCCCTACATTCATTATCCCTGACTTCTGAGTATCTCCTGTGTGGGTCCACTGCCTGCCCTGGATGTCTGTGTGTGACCACTAGCAGACTCCAAGCCAGACTAGCTGGTGAAAAGGAGACCTCAGTGAAAAGGAGCTCTCAGTGACAGTGGGAACTGCAGGGGTTTCTCGGTCCAGGTGCCAGCAGCCAGAGCAGGGCAGGGGCTGCTCCTGATGCAGCCCAAGGGTCTGTGGCCAGGGGCTGGAGGGACCCACATATTGCACGTGCATATTACACTAGCAGACCTCAGTGCTGATCAGGTGGAGAGGAAGAATAGGATGGGGCCAATGTGCCCCATTAAATGCATTTGCATTTTCGATGACTGTTAGGACAATATTCTGGATTCTGAGATCTTCAGAGAGAACATCCTCTCAAAACTCAGTGGATGTTCCCCAACAGATATACTTTTCTGTTAAACAAGAAAGCATCAGGAACATGATTCAGTGAAGTGAGTATCTGGGACTCTCAGCAAGTATTCTATACTACTGGTTAGACAAGTCATAGAGACTGTGTTTTGTCTTCAACTTTTGTGATTTTAGGCCTAGCCAGTCCCTTTTTCCAAGGGGCTGTTTTTATAACGTTGTTCTTGTTTCAAGTCCAACAGTGATACAGCATGCTTTCATTAAAAAATAAATAAATAAATAAAAATCTTACCTCCAAGTTATATAGATATTTGAAACTGCTTTTCTGACTGGCTGCCTTTTCCACAGCTTGAGCTAATTTCACTGCTCCTCTACCACCAGCTGACCAGTGGTTGCAGGGTACAGCATCAAACGCTCCGGACCTCTTGGCAATCTCACAGACCAAATCAACCTCGGCAGGAGAGTCAGTTCTGCCAACCAAACCACTCGGTGTCAAATTTTACTTAATTAGCTCTCTTTTATAATCACATAGGCTTAATCTTATTCTATATATGCAGTTGCAAAGCAAATGTTTTTAGAAATTGTTATATATACATAGTACATTGATACTAAGCACAAATATTTATGTCCTTCATAATTTTATGTTTTATTTAAACTAATGAACATGGTACATTACTACTTCCATAAAATTATATATCATCTCTGTTATTAAAACCTTAAGGAGCAGTGAAAGAGTTAGAAGCCTTTGTATTCATGATGAACAACAGAAACTCGTTAATAGCTCTTTTCTTCATGACAAAACCACTTAAAAAAAAAAAGACAAAGTTTGAAGTGTAACATTAAATAATAGCTTTCTGATATATCCAGGTCTTAATTTAAATTTAAGCAATCTAAAGTATATTTACTTAAATTCCTCTGTCCCCACTGATCATTTTTAAACATACAAATAGGAGACAAAGCAGTAATTCAGGTAGCACATCCATGCCTCCTGCTTAAACTGTAGGTTTAAGCTGTGGATTTACTCTTGTAAGTAATGGAAGAATGGACTTACTTGAAGACATTTAGAGCAACCACAACAGGAACTCCAAACAGCTGAGCAATTTGAATCTGTTTCTGTAGATTACAGCAGCCATCAGCTACCAGCTGGAGGTTCTGTGCAATTCAACAAAAAAGAATGGAAATAGTAAGATGCATCCGCTTTTATCTGGCCAAAGAATTTTCTATAAAGTAAACTGAACATAAACAGGACTGATCCTGACAGTTATAGGCAAGTAAAATGTCTCTAGAGAAAACATTTTTGTGCTTATCCAATTAATTCTCAGTTTAATTAATAAGCAACAGGATTATTTAAGTGACTAAACAGTGCCCAAAACTTGTACATGAACAGACTGCAAGACTAATCCTTTCTGTGACAAGAAAAGACAGTTCAGCTGACGATCATTTGCCAGCAAATACAACGGATGCCAAAAACAGTCTATGGGAGGTTTGCAGAAAACAGTCAGCCTTGTTGCCTGCTGCCCTATTTCTCCTGCTCTGATCAACAGGTGCCCCAAAGAAGATATCCAGGAGTGCAACAGAGATGTGTTGCCAATGGCAGTCACTACCACACGGATGGTGGATCGTTTTTTCTCCTTAGCTACTCTGGTCACCTTGCTGTGATCACCCCCTCATCCTGCTTCTCAGCAGAGCGGTCAGTCAAGAGGTAGAGCAGTCCCCTCACACCTTCCTTCCAGGCTCCTGAGCAGGAGGAAGGCGCTCAAATCATGTGCAAATCAGATCAAATCATGTGCAACATCACACAGCCACAGAGACAACTCTAACTGAAGGCCTGCTAAGCCACAAATGATCATACATATCCCATGACTTGAGTAAGACTCAGTCCACAGAGACTGAGCTGTTAAGACGTACACACTTGAGAGGTTTCAAAATCTTGAGAATATCACACAATGTAAACACTCACTGAGGTCACGGGTACATAAATATGTACACATCTGTAAACGCACAACTCAGAAAATTTACTGCCTTTGCATTTCTCAAGGTGCTACTGACTTAGGTATTGCTGGCTTTGAACTTTCCATTGTCCATGGAAAATACAGCCATTTTTCTGTGGCTGTAGAGGAATGACACAGGACTCTTTCACAGAGGAGTGACATTTAACAAAGGCACAACACCTTTACTGAATCCTTTCTGTCTAAACCGTCTGAAACTATGTTAACTTTAAGATCTGTATTATATGCACAAGATATTAAATGCACAAATAACTGTGCAAATATATTGGAGTTTCCTGCCACAATTAATGTCTATTTCTCTCTTTCTTGAAAACTTTACAAACAAATTACAGCAGAGAGGTGAGACTTAGCACACAGGTATGTTAAATGCACAACCTAGTGTATGTATATTCCAGACAAAACCCCATTAGTAGATTTTGTTATCTACTCTTTCACCTTACACTGTATAGTCCTTGTCTCTACTGCAATAAAACATACATGCTTGGGTGGACAAAACCAAGCAACTTAAACAGCTAATTAGAGGTGTATTCAATTTGAAGGTGATCAGGTTGCAAAACTGTCAGAAACTGGAGGGCAGCAGCTAAAGCCTAAGTAGCTGGCTAAACCACCAGATTTTGTCAATAATGCAGAGACAACGAAAACTTAAAGAACCCAGTCTTGTTTGAAGTGTGGCATGCAATGCCAGACAGGAAGCACAAATAGATTAAACCTGCTGCTTAATGAACAGGTTAGGCTGTCATTAATTTCAGGGAGTGTCATTCCTTCCCCCAGCCATCTCAGATGCCAATTTTGACCTCTGCACTGCTCTGCCCTTGTGCATAAATGCCAGAAATGCTTCTGAGAGGCCGCGTGATGGACTGGAACGAAGAGATGACCAGTCGGAAAGCTCCGCACCCCTGGAAAATTTACTGAAAAAAAAAATATTTTCAGTTGATTCAGTTCCTCGGTCCAATCTACCACCCAGTCACAGGAGGGAAAACACCAAGTGGCTGGGAAAGGTGAGATGGCTTTATCCTACTGGCAAAGCCTGCTCAGGGGCTCTACTGAATGCCAGCATTAGAGCATGCTGTTGCCACCACGGAGGCCACACACTGTCTATGCAGCGGAATAAGATGTTCCATACACCATACTATTTTGTCCCTTTTAAACAAACACTTTTTCCTAGGTTTTTATAATAGTTCTGCTTACCTCTTCTGTGTATTCTTTCTTAAGAGGGGCACCGGCAGTTACCTGGAATAATAAACAGCCATAATTAGTGCAGAATTAAAAGCACATGCCACAGTCTAGGTGGTGAGAAGGGCACTGTGCTGGCTTTCTACTTTCTGTTAATCAGTGCACAGAAAGTGATAGATTGACCACAACTTCTGTTTTACTACAAATTACATTAAAAATTTGCAATTATATTGCAAATACAGCTATACAACTATATTTGTACAATACAGATACATTTACATTTGCAAATGTATTATGAATTATAATTAATTACATTATAATATATCCAATTTTACCACAAATTATGCACAAGGTGAATATCAACACTTCCATTTTCTTTGGTTGGCAAGGTACAGGCAGCCACTCAGAAACTAGAGGTAAATTTTTTTTTTTCTTAAAGAGTAAAATGACTATGTAAGACTAAGAAACAAAAAAAAAACCCCTTCACCATTTCTGTATTTATTAAAGAATTTACTGTATTTGAAATACAGTCTGGCTATTTTAGTAACATGACTGTGTTACTGCCATCAAAACAACTACAGATGATTAAGCTGACTTTTTTTTTTCTAACTTGGATTGATTGGATCCAATCAACTTAAATTGGACCCAACTTAAATTATATTTATTGAATCTTAGTTTTGTCTCAGTAGTGTAAGAATCAAAAAACATCCATTTTGGAGGATAAGTAGGCTGAGCACACCAAACAGAATAAAACTGCAGTTTATCCACAACATTTACACACACATTTGAAGTAGGTTACTCTTCAAAATATATCTATATGCTTGAAGCAACTGCCCACAAATACTTAGTTCAGGACAAGTTCAAGCCAGGAAAGGAACAGAGATGGTATAATGTTATTTAAGCAATCTGTTCTCTGTTACTAGTTTGTGTATTTTGGCATTACGTGAAAAAACAGACAGAAAAAAGTCAAAAGAAAGTTTGCAGAATGAAAAAGGAGGGAGTTGTTAACTTGTCTTCTTTGGACAAGTTAACTAAATTTGACAAATATTATATATATATATATACATTAGATGAACAAAGTTATCTGTATGTAAAAGTTTTCTGTAAGATGATTTGTATCTTTAGAAGGTAAGTTTTAATGCAGTTTCTCATAAAAAAAGACATATGTTTTTGCTGTTAACTGCTCTATCTGTAATATATTACAGGATGCAACTAGTAAATAGTACATAAGATAGAGCTCTGTACCACAAATAAGAGTAGTTTAAGCTGCTTTTAGGACTTAGAAAGTCTTCACTTACATGGATTTCTACATTTACTTAAATAGCTATGAAGACACATGCAAGTCCTGTTTTTGCAAGACTGACTGGTAACACACATAACAATAAACCAGCCTTGAAAATGTATGAAAGAACATAATTTTTTAAAAGTTCCATTAGAAGTGGAAGTTATGTAATTACGCTAACCATTGAAAACGCTGAAAAAGGAGAAGCTCAGCATTTGGTGATTAGCTGTAAGGAAGATGGTGCTTTCCAAAATGTTGTGGCTGTGGAAACAGCTGCTTTTTCACCAATGTGACTGTTTCCTTGGAAGCACCATCCTCTCCCATGCTGCTGGTCAGAAAAATAAGCTGCTTAAGGGTTTTAGTGCCTGCTTGGCTAGCAGAATGCTAGTCTACTTAAATAACTGGGGAGTACTTCTAGGATCAGTCATACGTGCAGATCTCCTAGCTTGAAGAGCAAGAAATGGCACATTGATGACCTTGACACTTGTACAATTGTATCAGTAACCTCATCATCTCTGAGGGAACTAACTTGAGCAGATTAAAAGGACTGAAGGAGTCCCCAGGACTGCAATGAAAGAAATCTCCAAATACTCACTAAGTTCCCTACTTCCACTCAAATACCACAACCTGAACTCTCTTCCTCAGTGGGCAATTTTCCCAGCTTATGACAGCTTTAGTACACTTACAAACGCTATTCACAGATGTGAGGAAAAGAATATGATATTTTATAGCATATTTTTTTCATGCAAACAATCTTCTCTCAGCAAAGTTTAGTATTTCTTCAGAGCTCTTTCATCTCTTTTTCATTCGTGCCTTTCCATTCTTGCATTGCCTTTAGAGCTTACAGCTACACAGTAACTCAAGGAGGACATCTGAACATTGCTGTATGATCTATTCCCAGTATTTCTTAAACCAAGATATTTTACTCATTTCAGACATTAGCAACAATTTTGTTCTCCCAAAAGGTGCAAAAACTTACATTTGGCCCACCTCCATGCATCTTCAAAGCCCTCACTGTAGCAACAAGCACAACCACGCTGGGAACCAAGCCAGAGGATCTGCATTTGATGTTGAAGAATTTCTCCATCCCAATGTCAGCACCAAAGCCAGCTTCAGTTACTGTTAAACATTAAAAAAAAACAACACATAAAATATGCTTTCAGTTAAACACTAAGGGATACTTTTACTTTAGCATACAGTGCACCTAAATATACATCAGCACTCAGTTTTGAATGAACTTTCAAACTGAGTTCTATTTACATTTCTGAGTCCGATTTAAAAAAAAAAAAAAAGCAAGAAAAGATTCCCAACTGAGAAATAAATTCTCCAACTCTTGATAAGTACAATCACTGAGTAGTCACATGGGGGAAAAACAAGCAACACAAATTAATCTGAATTACCAAGACTGAACAAGCATCCGGTCCTCTAAAATAATTATTTCTATATAATTACACTTACAAAATATAACCACACATTAAAAATGTTTGAAAACTCTTACTCATATGAGAATTTTCTGCAATCTACTTTCTTTCTTGGTTTTACTGAAGATGTTCTTTCATCACTAATAATGGACCTAAAACTTTCCTAAACTTGCAGATTTTTTTGCTCACCTCTTGCTTTTCTGGAGTAGATGCTTATTTACAAAAACAAAACAGTATTTATAATCCTGTCCTAATGTTGAACGCAATATTAATATAAATTCTATAAGAAGACTTTGCATCAAGGAATTCTCAGACATTAGTGTAACAAGACTCAAAAAAAAAACAAATTATGCACAACTACAGTGTGTGCCTGGCAATGTACTCTTACTAAAGTCACAAGTAGAAGATTATCTGCATAGCACTGAAGAGACTGCCTTCATTTAAATTTGCTCTGATTTGCCATATATCAATTATTTCAGCTGCCTGTTTCAAGTTCTATTTCAGGAAGACTGAGGGGTTTTTTTTTCTTATTAGATGAAGACGAGCATATGGCCTTTCAGAAAACCAATGGGTTAGCTCTCCCGCTGGTTGAATGTATGCCACTATAAGTACTTCCCACCCATATTTCTATACGTGTGCACGCACCTCCCTTATTCCAGAGAGCTGATACATCCCCAAAACATCACTCAGCTTGCAAAACTTTGTAAATCGACTCCTCCCTCTCTCCCTTCGGCAGTTTTGACACTGCTGCCTCGATGGGGGCTTGCACGATGCCCATAAAACAGCCGGGCCCTTGGAAACCTTTGTGGGGATCGGCGAGGCCGAGCTGGAGGTGCCGCTTGGAGGACCCGCTCTGCCACGGAGCGGGAAGCAGCCTCCCGCTGGCAGCCGAGGTGCCCCAGGAAGGCCCGGCCTTCACGTGGCTGCTCCCCCATCCCAGCCCTTTCCCAGCCCTCGGCCTGGGCCCGCGCAGAGCTGCTCTGATGGAGGAAATGGCGCCCGTGGGGCCGGGGAGGAGGCAGGGCCAAGCACGCGAGGCGGAGAGAGCAGAAACCTCCTGAAACAGCAACCCGGCAAGTGCCCGCACTAGCATGCCCTGAATTTATTGTCATGAGGATATTATCTCTTTCTGAATAGCCCTAAGAAAAACAGACATTTCAAACACGGAACGGCCCCCCCCCCCCCAAAAAAAAAAGTTTACCCAAACATAATATTTCACAAGAACAAAGCTGTTGTGAATGTAAGTCATATTAGACGCAGAGCCAACGATCACATTTCCAGTAACCCCATTCCTCTTCTCCAGTCTTTTATGTGGCACAGCATGATTAATGAGAACTCTGAGTCAAGAATATATAACTATGATCAATCTTTAACATAAACAACAGATAAACTACCAAGTACTTGAGAGGGTGGGAAAATAATTTGTCTCTTATGGAGATTGCCATCATCTATACATAGCAGTCTCCTAATTGGCTTCCAAACAAAGTTTCCAGGGAATTAATACTTTCCACGCCAAGCCTTTTAAAGAGTCATTTTTTTTTTTCTACAGATGTGGGATGTCCCTTTCTGTACTTTGCAATGTGAAGAAAGCAGAGATTTCAGGCTTCCAGGGAGCAAGGGAACATTTCTCCTAGCACTTCACGGCTCTCAGGAAGGTGCCAGACTTCCTTTATGTGGCTAGAATAAGCTAAGAAGCCAGAGCAAACACCCAGGAAAGGTGTGCAGGGGCACTGGTCTGCTTAGCTCTGCATATTCTTCTTTTTATTCTCTGCAGTGCTTTCACTTGATATGGAAACACTGATGTACCTAAACTTGACATATGCAAATAATCTCAATCCTACACCAATACCAAGACCTATATCCTATACCAATATTTAAATATGAACACTATAGCTCATAGAATGTGATTTCTTAATTTAAAGCGGAGGAAATGGAGAGAGGCACATCAGAGCTTTCTCCAGTATAAGGAAGGAAGCAGGATGTAGTATAAAAGCTGCCTGGATGGAAGCTACCAACTCCACTTTATTTCCTCTGAGGAATAGCAAGAAGACAGAGCAATATGCCCAGCCATTGTATTTTAAAATTTTTGTACTGAAACGCTTAATACAACTGCTTGTAGATTGTTTCCTGCTTCCAAATTAGAGTGAAGAAAAAAACGTTCCAAAGAGAAAAACAAATACAGAACAGGGATGGGAAGGATCATGGGAGTCTACATTTACAGATTAACTACTTTAAATTAACAGCAGAAATTGCAGGTAACAATTCATCCATGTCATAGCTACCATTTCTAGTATACGATTCACCAGCAAAATGTAATTACTGATTACAGGTCAACTAAGGAGGATTACGGCAACAAATCCAGTCCCACGCCTGGCTGTGAATTCCCAATGCCTTTCTTGTACTGGCAAAACCAGGCAGTGGCCTACACAGGAACTAAAAGAGGATTTTCCAGGCATAATTTTCGGCCAGTACGACACTCTGAGCTGGTTCCTTGCACAGTTATATAAAGGGCAAAATCTAATTCTACACATACTTGTTGTTTACATTTTAAGCTTCTATTTTATGTCCTAGGGTATCATAAGAAGCATTAGAGTGCTGATTAAATACTAAAATTATATAAATCAGTACTGTACTACTACATTATTTTTAATAATGTCTCAAGGTCATCTAGCAATTAATATGCATGTCTATATCAAAAGCAAGCTCAGTCAGATTTCTCCAAAAATTCCATGCACAAATGATCCACCTGAGAGTCAGGAAAAGTCAGGTTCATTCTGATACATTAGGGTTAAGCAGGGAATCTTGTTTCAAATCACCATTAGGCAAAGTACATTGAATTATAGAGTGCTCAGCAGGTCATTTATTTAACTTATACCTCACTCAGTTCAGCTCCCAAATAACCCATAAACCATAGCTTTAGTTCAGCATAAGAAACTAAAACGTCCAGGCTAGGTACAAAAAGGGGTAAGTAGGAGCTCATTAAGCATATGGAATCAGGCAAAAGAGATGATGAGAAGTCTGTCAGGTCACATAAAGTCAGAGCAGGAATTTCCTTTCTGTACAATAGATGTTGTTTGCTCAAGTCCCTAATTCCACTCTGGCGTTCAGGCAAATGAACAAATCACTCCGACAGTTTTGTTTCTCCTTTATAATTACCGCAACCTCCTCGTCACAGAATTATTGCCCCGCCAAGCACATCTGGGAATATTTTATCATCTATGCATCACAATAGCTTAAATAGTCAGTATCATGGTTTAAGCAGCTAATCACATTTCATAGTCACGCTTAATAAAGAAATGCAATTTTCCTCCACCTAGAAATACATCTATCATATTATAACTGTATAAAATGGTTCCACACTAGCTTCACATACTGCTTAATCCCTTCATATAAAGTGTTTTATTTATCTGTTTTTATGCAACTTCACCCACAATACAATTTCATGCAAACTGAGGCTAGCTTGTAGTGAAACTAGCTTCTCTCCAGTCAGCACTTTCTATCAGCAAATCAATGTCAAAACAAAACATTCCTGCTGTGAAGGGCCAAGTCAGAAGTGGGCACACGAGGTGAAGCTTTAGGACAAGAACCGTGAGCCTGGATTCCTGAACAATGTCAAAGGAAATGGAAACTCCGAGCTGCTCGCTGCCATTTACTCCCCACCACACAAACATATCTGCTCTGGTGCAGCTGTCTGCTGGTAACCTCAGGAAAAGAAGAGTTCAGAGTCACAGAAGCACGTGAACTGTGAACCTGGAGCTCGAGGCACGCTAGCTGTGAAGTACTGATACGTTCTTGTTTAAGTGAAAAATATAAAGGTGCACAACTGCCAAGATAAACTAGGATGCTCAGGGTTTTATCTAACAGGATATCATATTTTTCTTAGTACAGCTAGGGATGAATAAAGCAGATGTTTGTCCATTCTGACTCTGGCAATTTGATGGGAGCTTTCACTATTTTGCCTGACCTTGGAATGTAACTGACTTTTTTCTTCTAACTCTTTTTGCCTTTTCCTTCATCCTTTTTTCTTTTTCTTTCTTCTTTCCTTTTCCTCCCTCCCCATTTTTATTATTATTATTAAAATGGAGGGAGTTTTCCTGCACATTTTAGTTCTGATGCAGTATCAGATGCCACACCACTCTGAGGCACTTGCTGCTACCACCACTGGATACGAAGTCCAACACAGCCTTAAGGCAAGAAAACAGCATGTAACTATACTAAGGCTGATCATTTTTCATGTCGTGAAGTAAAGAGTTTGTATTTGCTATCAAAGTTTTATGCTGCTGTGGCAGCCTTTGTTTTGAGCAAGACAATAGCAAAAATACATGCCATTCAATATGGGAAAACTTAATTTCTTCAAGATAATGGGTATTTTTCTTTGCTACAGAAGGATGCCATTGATGTATATGCCCAAAAGTAAGGACATCGGACATTTCTCAATATTGAACATTGATCCAGACTTTTGACTGAACCAGAAGACCCTGGAGTTTGTGCAAACCCCGGATGTATGACACTTTAAACAGCTACCAATGACTTTTCTTTTGCAAGAAATCCTGACCAAAATAATTTTTTTTCTCAAAAAGTTGTATGACAACAAAGTTGTGTTCAACAGTTGATTATTCAGGCAAGCCCCTTTTTGTGTGCAAAGCACCCAGACAGCAGCCCCCCTGCAAACACCCCCAGGAGACAGACTACAAATGC